TCTTTGCAACAAGAGTGTTGGGTCAGATCCTCCCGGAGGCCACATCTGATTCCACATTTCTAAACTGGATGAATCCTACTACAGGTGATTCAGGTGCCTTCTAGTCCATATGTAGTTTTATGCGAATTAGAAAAATATACCTCCTCCAGGCAGGAGCAGCCCCTCTCTAAGGCTCACAGCTTAGGGGGAAGCACAAGCTGAATTACCTTAGCTGAGTGCTCTTGAGCAGTAAGCAACCTCCACAACCATACAAAGCAGCCCATTGTGACCCCATCTAGTCCTTGAAGAATACACCACAGTACGGTTTTGCAGGGAGCAGCACTGACCAGGAGGGTGAGTGACCAGGTCAGGCCAACCTGAGGGTGTGGCCAGAAAAGAAATAGAATGGACCTGAAGCGCTTAGACAACAAGAACCATTCCTGCAGCCCCCACTTCTCTCAGGCACTGGATTGGTCTCTGTAACTAGAAAAACCCATGTTAGCCAGGCCATAACCCTATGCGGGGGTAGCATTATGAGCTTCATTTGTAGATGAGGAGGCTGGGAGGGATCGAACTAGCTACACCTGGGCAAGGAAGTGACAGAACTTGCACTGGAAGTCCCTTGATGGCAGTGACTGCCTATGGGTAGGCATTGCTCTCAGACACAGCAACAGCCAGACCACAGTGCTCGTGTGTACGAAAACAATCATGGCCATGACCTCCATGGATGCACCCTGTGAATTAAGCAGGGCAGGGGTTTTGCTCTCATTTTGTAGGTGATGGAACTGACGCTCAGAGATGCTCAGAGATTTGCCCAGAGTCACCTGACCAGTAAGAAGCAGAGCCTGGATTGAAAAATATCTGGGTCTTTGAACAACTAGTCCTTTGAACTTTTTATGACACCCTGTTGTCTTCTTATGGCTTGGCCTGAACATGCTATAATAATCCACCCATCCATCCATCCAACATCATCATCTCCATCTCCAGCTCCATCTCCACCACTGCCACCATCACCACCACCACCACCACCACCATCATCATCATCGTCGTCATCATCTCCTAATACCATGGAACTTCTGCTCCCCTCTAGATGTTTATCCAGCCCCCTGGCCTGCCTGGTGTGGTCCAGATGGAGACAAAAGGGCAACACAACTTCCTTTAGCCTTACCCTTTGGAGAGGTCTCTACAGGTGTGTTCTCCACTCTCTACCACGTCTGATCCTCCCACAGCCCCAGGAAACATGCAGAGCAAAACATTACATGGAGGAGCAGCTGAGGCAGGAGAGGTTCAATGGCAATGGAAGAACAAGAGCCTAGTATTCGTTACTGCTTCCTTTATGCCTGGCTTAAGCTGGGGAGGCAGGCCCTGTTCTAAGCATTCTGCACAATTACTTCATCTAACTTCCTTAGCAACACTACGACGAGTGTCTTATTGTCCCCATTTTCCAGACAAGGAGACTGAGACTCAGAGAGGTGAAGTAACTGGGCCAAGGTTACTCAGTTCTAACTGGTGGAGCTGGGATCCTGAGACTGCCTGGGACTCTGAGGTCAGTGCTCTCTGCCTCTGGAAGTCACCTCCAGTGCAGCACCTGACTGCCCCTCTGAGGTAACACCTCCAGATTCTGACCTGAAATCTTCCCTGGGCCCCTTTAACCAGAAGGCATGAAAGAGCCTGGGCATTAGAGTAGCCCTCCGGATTCTGACAGCCAGCTGAGCCACTGGCCTGGCACTATTGTCTATAGAAAGGGTGCCTGCAAACCCTCAATCCAAGAGAGACCAGAATCCCAGAGGCTTGGCAGAACACTGCCACTCGGCGGCCTGGCTCCAGGGCCCGCCTCCATCTCTGGCATTGCTCTCTGTGAGCAACAGGGCAGAGAGGTGTCTTGGCTCTTACTCTACCAGCACTCTGTCCCCATCCTCATCAGTACCATCCACCTGTTCATTTACCCTCAGGAGCCAGGTATGGTAGAAAGGACACAGGCTTGGCCACCAAACAAACTTGGATTCATATCATGGCTCTGCCTCTCACCTTATCTTGGTCTTAGACAAGCTAGTTCCCCCTGAGCCTCATTTGTCTCATCTGTCAAATAGGCTGTTGTAAGGGCTCAGTCATCCCATCATTCAGTCATTCAACAAACACTTAGAGACCACTGGGCTAGGATCCTACAGTCTAGCAGAGGAGGCAGAGAACCCAAGATTTGAGGAATGCATCAGAGTTAATGAGAGAACGAATGTTTCAAGCAGAGGGAACAGGACATGCACAGGCCTGGAAGAACTGAAATACACTCACTGACTGGAAAAGCAGGAGAGGGAAAATAGCCCAAGAGGAGGCTCAAGAGAAACACAGGGGCCAGACACCCCCTAGCAGCACTTGGCCCACAGTAGCCACTCAGTCCAGGTGAGTTCCTTCCCTGGAACCCCAAGCCCCAGGTGCAGGCTGACCCTCATCCAGCACAGGGAGTCTATTTCCTTTCTTGGTCGGCAGCCGGCTTCTCTGCTAATGCCACATAATACAGTGGGTTCGTTACCTTGGAGTGCTGAGCCACAGAAGCAGGGGGTAGAGGTTTGCCAACTACCTCAGATCTGCCAGAAATAGAATCCAATGTTCCAGGATGCTAATGACTACGGCCTTGGTGTATTTCTCGCTCCCTTTAGTGGTCTCCAACTGGTGGGGTTGTTTGAAGAAGAGGAAAGCAGGGTAGTGGAAGAGAGGCAGACAGCCGTGCAGAGCCCCAGCTCCAGCCCCACAAATGGACCATGAGCCTCATTTTATGCACTAAATATGCTTCCATCTAGTTATGCATAAGTCCAATTTGTGTAAACCACATTTTATTTTCCTTCTGTTTCCTGATCCCTAGTTTGCCACCTATGATTCCTCTCATCAAGAGGTGGAGTTTATTTCTTCTGCACAATTTCTGGGATACTACATGACTGCCTCTAACCAGCAGCATGTGGCAGAAGTGACACCATGACAGTTCCAGGCCTGGGCCTCAGAAGGCCTGGAAACATCTGCTTTCACTCTCAGAATCTAGCCACCACACAGGAAGGAAATCCAAGCTCTTCTATGGGAAGAAGAGACCAGGTGGTGAGAAAGGCCACGTGGAGGACAGGACTCCACATGGAGGGGAACTGATGTGCCCTTCTAGAACCTTCTAGCCACCAGCTGGAGCTGCAGGCGGGTCCAGCTGTGCCCATGTGAAAGAGCACCCCTGCCCTGCCTACCACAGAAGCATGAGAAATCATAAAACCATTGTTATTTTAAGCCAACGAGTTTTGGGAGGGTTTGTTAAATAACAAAAGACGACAGAAATAGATCCATTTACTCTGTTTCTGTCTTGTGACCCTCAGTTTTGACCATAGTGTCTGGAAGGATGTACAGGCCCATCAAATACAGAAAAAAAGCTTATTCTGTCAACCATGAACATCCAGTAAGTCCTTGTTTTCCTCACCAAGTCACCTTTGTTTCTTAGCAAGTATGCTTCAAAAGAGCATCTGGGTGTCTGTGCTTCTGCCTCTCAGCAACTTCTCCCTACTCACCCCACCCCAGCAAGTCCTGTGATCTTTTTAATTCCACCCTCCCCTAGGGTCCTGGCTCAGTTTGGGAGAAAATGTACCAGGCCTATGAATTTCTGACTGTCTTCTAGAATATTCTTAGCATTGTGTCCTAAGCAGAGGCTTTATACTTTGAAGATTTTTCAAAGGCCACAAGACACACAAGCCATTGTCCTGCTGAAGCCAGCCACCTTCCATGACACCACGAAGGACAGTCGTGCTCACAGGTCTTTCCCCTTCTCCCTTACAGGGGAGAGGGCCCTGCCGGGCCACAAGAAGGACGAGAGGGCACCCGGGAACCTGGGGGCCCTGTGCCCTCTGCCCAGGAGCTGCAATCTCGTGCAATCCAAAATGTGACTGCTCCTCAGAGATGCCTGCAACTGGGGCCAAGGCCTGGTTGAGGAGCAAGCCCTGCTCTGCCTCAGAGACAGGGCTCCAGACACGAGGCCCCTGCTCCCTATCTCTCGGCAGAACTTCACTTGCCTGGCTGGAACTCATACCCCAGGGCTGTGGGTGCCTGCCTGGTCGAATGTTTTGGTGGATGAATAGGTGAATGAATAAACTACACAAGTGAACGCTGGGACAATTAAATAAATGAATGCACAGGTAAATGAATGAGCTCGGATCCAATGACTGCTACTGTAGCCAGTTTCCCCTCAAGGCCAACAGCTCCTGTCCCATTTCACGGCCTAGATTCAGACACATTGCAGCCGCAACTGCTGCCTCTGGTGGGCAAGGGGGCCATCTTGCTCCCTGTAAGGAAAAACAAGTCTCCTAGACACCTTCTCTTCCTGCCATCAGTTAGGATTGGGATTATTCAACCGTAAACCAGAGAAAACCCAAAATAAAAATGGATTAAACCAGAGAGTTTATTTCTCACTCAGGTGAATGAATTCTGGAGGCAAGGGGGCTGATATTCTGCAGGATCAGAGATCCAGGCTTCTTCCAGCTTTCTGCTCCACCATCCCTGGGGTACGAACTTATCCTCATGGTCCAAGATGGCTGCTCAAGGCTAGCCATCACTTTACAGTCTGTTAAGCAGAGGAAGGTGTGAAGATCGGCACAACCTGTATCTCTAAGTCTACTTCCTAGAAATTGGCCAGAACAGAGTCACATGGCCACACCAGGCTGCATGGGAGGCTGGGAATGGTGGAGTTCATTCTAAGTGAGGAACCTCATGTCCAGCTAAATTTGGGGGTTCTGTTATTTAGGAGAAAGGGGAGATCTGATCTGATATTGCAGGGTAATCTAGTAGGCTCTGCCACAACAACTAAGAGAACCATCTTACTTGGGAGCCCCACCTCGGCCCAACATTCTGTCCTGGTGACATACTTTTGTCTTATCTACTCTGAGCTCCCTAAGGGCAGGAAACAGTCTTAATTATGTGTACATTCTCAACATCCAGAGTAGGGTTTGGTGCATAACAGATGCTCACCCATTTACTGAATAGAAATATATTTAAGCACTTACTGTGTGTCAGAAACTGTACTAGCTGCTGGGGGTAGAATGGTGAACCAAACAGACAAAACTCCTGACCTCAAGGAGCAGATGGAGAGAAGAGGGAGAGAATCAATAGTTATAAAACTGGATATAGTAGAGCAGCTATAATATATAACTACATCATGTAACGAAAGGTCAGGTAGGTGGTCAGTGCCAGGAAGGTAAGTGACATGGGCCCGGCATGTGGGAGGATGAGGAGCTGCTGGACACAGGTACGTGGTCCGGGAGGTACGCTTCAGCAGAGTGAGGCAAGGAGGCGAGTCAGGTGGGCGTCGGTGGGAAGAGCATTCCAGGCAGAGGGAACAGCTCGTGCAGATGTTCTGGGGCAGGGGTGTGTGTGATGTGTTCAAGGAAAAGCAAGGAGGCTCAAGAGAGGGCAGGCGAGTACGGGGAGGATATGAAGGGCAGGCTGCCTGAGTGAGCGGTGAATAGCCATCTGTCGAGGCAGAAGCAGCTCTGGGCTGCAAACAGCAGGTGTAGTCCTCGCAGTTCCAGTTCAGCTCTGTCTCTAGTTCACGGAAGAGCCTGTTTTCTCACCTACAAGGTAGAAACAATACAGCCCCTGCCTACCTGGCCATGTGAATCAAATGTAACAAGAACACTGCCTTCCCGTTCTACCCCGATGACAGGCTGTCTGGAAGGAGCCCTTACAGTGGAGGCCCCCTGCCTTCCCTGCTGTTCCTCCACCCCACCTTTTGCTCCCTTCTCTCCCTGCCTGTCTTTCTCCACTGTTTCCTGGTGCCCTCTCTGGGCCAGAGCCCCTGCCCTCTGAATCCCTGAGTCTCTTGTGAAAACAGACTTCCGAACAGGTCATGACAGTAGAGCCCAGCACATGCCTGTATGGAGGTGCAAGTTGCCTGGGGAGCACTGTGGAGGGAGCATCTTAATCTGCCAAGGCTGGGCAACAAGGGGGAAGAGCACAGGGCTAGGAGCTGGGCCTGAGGGCTAGTGTCAGCAAAGCTCCCACCTTGCTGTGTGACCCTAGACAAACCCCAGCATCCTGGCCTTAGTTTCCTAATCTGCAAAGAGCTGGTGATTCCACACCCTTGCAGCTGCCCACGTTGTGGTTCTACCAATTCTGAGTGGGCCAAGCTGTACCTGCCCCTGAAGGGTGTAGACAAGAAAAGGAAAGCCTTGGAGCTCTCCGTAGGAGAGTATAAAATGGGGAAGTGTCAAACCGCAAGGTCCGTCCAAAGGTGCACTGTGCTCACTCCCTGCTCAAGCAGGAGTTCAAGCAGAAGTCAGGAGCCTTAGAGAGAATCTAAAAACCCAATGGTGGCTTGGACTGATGGCCACTGAGCCCTCTTCCAACAGATTCCAGGAGCCTGTGAACTGTTCCAGAGCAACTGAAGGTCAGTGCAGTTAGAAGCCATGACGGCATGGCCCCAGAAGGAGCAGCCCAAGCCCTGGGCTGGGTTTTCTAGGGAGGCTTTCTGCAGGAGGAAGGATTGAATGAGAGGAGGTGTTTTGGGGTAGGGAAACTTCTAGAAGTCCAAGGCCAGCTCTAGCTATCAGAGTTTGATACTGGCCAAGTCACTGAGCCTCCCCAAGCCTTGGTTAAACAGGGATGTTGAGAAACTTGGAAGAATACATAGTCCACCACAGTTCTCAGCCCACAGCAGGCCCTCAGTCACTGGCTGTCTCTTGCTGCTCAGTCACCAGCAGGGTGCCGTTTGCCTTCATGAAATCCTGGATCTCACCGCCCCGGCCCAGGGAAGCTACCTGCTCCGGGGCCCAGGTCTGGGACTGTTTTCTCTCTGCATCTTGACTGACAAACCCCCAGAATCACTCCTGGATTTTTACCTCCTCATTTTCCCCTGGGGTCCTTTTAATTTCTTCCTCTGTATCATAAACACAAAACAAGTGTTTAAACGTCTGCCTCAAAGGCAATCTGGGAAGCGAGCAACTCTTACATAAAGACCAGATGAAGCCCACGCTCACCAGAAGGCCCATCTGGATGTTCGCTCGGCCACCTTCCCTTTCTCCCTCCACTTGGGAACTGCTGTTCGTTCATAATTACGGGTTGTAACCGGGAGCTGGAGGGAGCAGCTGGTGGGGAGCCAAACGCACGTTAGTCCCGCAGCTGCCCCGGCCTTGGTTGGCTACTGCGGCAAGGCAGGCTCACCCTCCCTCCCTGTCGGCTTCCCAAGTCCATGTCCTCCCCCACCCCCAGGGGTCCTGGCCGTGGAGGAGCCTGATGTGGCAGAGGAGCTGGAGCAGGGGGGGCGGTGAGCCTAATGGTTACTCTCCCAGGCTCTGGGGACAGCCAACCTGTGTAACGGTAATGCACCCCTGAGCCCCGCTGAACCTCAGTTTCCTCATCTGCAAAATGGGAAATGGATGTTTATGTGACAAAGGAAGAAATTAAAAGGCCCCAAAAAAAACTGAGGAGGAAAAGACCAGGAGTGATTCTAGGAGCTTGTCAGGCAAGATGGAGAGAGAAACCTGTCGAGATGTGGCACCGTGAGCAGGTGGCTTCCACGGGCCTGGGCGGTGAGATCCAGGATTCTGTGACCTCAAACAGGCAGAAGGGTGAACACCCTTCTGGTGACAAAACAGCAAACCCATTTGATAGGTTTGGTGTCGTGATTCACAGGGATGGTGCCTGCAAAATGCTTAGCTTAGGGGCTGCTTTAGAAAAATTAAGGGTATCATGAGCAGAGAAACCGAGTAGCCCAGCTAGGCTATGGAGGAGCCCAGTTGTGGCCAGCGTTAGCCCTCAAGGCCATGCACACAAAAAAGGTGGGATGTAATTAGGAAACAACAGTAAGGTGTGTTGTGCATGATAAAAATTCAAACTTTGGCTAATATCAACATTAGGTGACTAATCTTAACACTAATCAGCTACTGAGTTCCCAGGTTACTATTAAACAGCCAAAAAAACAAATTTTTAAACAAAATTATCACTAAATTAGCAGCATTAGAAACTGCTAGGATGGCCTGGAGAAGTACATGCCATACCTCTAAGGGCAGATCGCAAGAGACCTTTGTGTCTTCCAGCCAAATCATGAACATGAGGTCAAGGTGTCTGGCTTCTCCTTGTTCAGTCATTAGCCAGTTCAGTGACCCTTCTCTGGGCCATCTACTTCCTACCCTCTCTACCACTTGGGATTATGGTGAGACCAACATGGAAAATACAGATATGAGCAGGTTCTGCAAAAGTACAATGTGGCATGCAAATTCTATTTCTTTTATCACTATTACTCAGTCAATGTTCACCTAATGCTAGTTTGGATTTATGAAAACACAACCCACCTCTAGCCTGCGAATACACAGTACACACATGTACGCACACACGTGTGGGCATGAGCACACACATGCAATATGGAAGGGGTCTGTTGGGTGCTGGCGGCAGTGAGTTCTGTCCAGGATTACTAGGAGACAGCTTCATGGGACAGTGACTCGCTGTGAGCCTAGAAGGAGAACTCCCAGGGGGGAGAGTATTGGGACTGGGACCCTTGTAGTCAGCAGTGTTCACCACCAGGTGAGCTGGACACATCTCCCACCACCCAGCTAAAGGTGAGGAAACCGCTCCTTCTGGGCTGGCCTCTGTTCCCTACCCTTTGTGCCCTGGTCATCCAATGAGACAAGCGCGTGCACCCGAACAATCCTGGAGAACAACCAAGACCATCACCGGACCTGCTGCGGGTGTCTGTTGCTGCTGCATAAATCATGATCAGGACCATCGAGCACCTTCCCCTGGAGGAGGGCTCTCTGCCTCCCAGATGCTATCTCCCTCAAGAAAGCCAGGTGGCACTTATGCGACCCTTCATCAACAGATGGCAAGCCGGGGCAAGCCTTCTACCTGGCCGGGTTTATGTTTCCCAAGCTGGAAGCAGCCTTTGCAGTGGTCCACGTGGAGGCCCATGCGGGGGCCCACGGGCTGCCGCTCTGCCCGTGCCACTCCCTGCCGAGAAGCCCCCGAGGCCCCCAACCAGCTGCACAAGGTGGCCCCCCACATCCTCACCAGCCCCTCCTCTTGCTACCCACCCTGAACACACCTCTGCTAGAGTCGCCCAGTATTCCTAGGGTGATTCAGCATGCTCTGCACTTGCCCATGTCCATGGCTTTCCTTGTGCCATCCACTCCCCCAAATGGTCTCCCCTCCCATCCCTAAAGCCCACCCTGATTCCAGGCCACCCCAAAGGCTGCACCCACAGAGCTGGGTTTTGTCGGTTGAACCCCATGTACCATCAATCACTGTGACCCTAAGCCTCCCTAGGGCAGCGTCTGTGCCCCCAGTGCTTCGCCCAGTGCCAGCGCACTGGACCCTCTGGCCGGCCCCCCTCATAGCCTTCGGCACGCTCCCTCCTAATTGCCTGCCTACCTACCTTGTCCTCCCCTGGACCCAAGATTTCCAGAAGGGCAGGGACATGTGCCTGTTGCCCAGAGTCTCAGAGTCTATTTCCTCCTCCATCACATTTCAGGACCTAGAACAAAGTGAAGCTTTGATGCTGTAAGAAAGAAACAAAGAAAGAATAGATGTATTATTTTCTCCATGAAAGCGGATATCTCCAGACTCCTCCAGTTCATCGAATCTCTATTTAAGAAATCAGCAAGCCAGCGCAGCTCCCCATTGCTACCGCTTATTCCACCTTTTATAGTGGGAGTCCTTGTCTAAGACGCCTTGGGAGCAGTTTTAACTCAATCCCAGAAAAGATCATTTATGCCTGACACAGACAAGTAAATAACTCTTGGATTATCTATTTTTGCCCCAGTTTCTCATGTTGACACAGCAATCATGCTGACATGGCATTGCATTAATCCAGTAATTCCTTTTATAAAATGACCTTTCGAAGTCTACACATTTTCGTACAGAGAAATTCAGTTAAACCCTGTAACTTACTCTGGATATCACATGTCTTTGAATATTCTTTGGCTAAAAGTAACAAAATCTGAGAGGACCAGATAAGACAGACGGGGGATTAATTACTCATTGGCTGAGTGCTGCTGGTGGTGGGGGAGCATGAATTCATTTTCTAGAGAGGGACAGGAGGAGGATGGGAGACAGAGAGACTAAAAGAGCTGGGGACAGAGACACAGGGAGACAAGGTAGCAGAGAAGGGAGGAGAGAAGAAGTGACCCGGACGTGTGGGGCTTGCTGCCTTTTCCAGCCCCACCGCACTCGCTCACCTCCTGTACACATCCCTTTCACCTCCTCCGGAGCTGTGCCACTCACGGTCTCATCTGATCCTCCAACCGCAGGGCTGCAGGAGAGCAGAAAGGTTATCTCAAGTTCTGGCGCTGCCACGTTCAAGATGGGTGGCACTGGGGACATTGCTGAATGTGCGTGAGCCTCAGTGTCCCTGTGTAGATCATGGGGATAATAGCAGCACTTCTTGTAGGATCATCATAAAGATTAAGTGAAACCAAATAGTTTGGGACCAAGAAAAAGTAATGGTATTGGCCAACAATCGCACAGCACTTACTGAACACTATTTGCCAGGCTCTGTTCTAGGACGGACCGATGGATAAACGTACACATGCTGTAATCCTTAGAGCTACTCCTGAGTAAGCAACTTTATTACCCCAGTTTACAGAGATGGGATGTAACTCTCCCAGGGTCACACAGCTGGTTAGTGGCAAAGCAAAGATTCAAATGCAGGCCACATGGCTCCAGACACAGGATCCCCACCCTAACCTTTACAGCCTCGCAGCAGGGCTCAGTAGAACTTAGCTATTCCTATCCAGTTACAAGACACGTTGCAAACCCTTAATGAGAGCTCATTCCCCCATGGCCCTCATATGGAATTGAAATTTGTGCTCTTACACCTGTCCCCAGGACCTGTCTCTAACCATCTCTCCCCAGTTTCTCATCACAGCCATTCTGCAGCTTGGAGATCAATTCGCTGATTTCCCATGAACCTCTTCTCCAGGCTAACCTTTGTCATCATTCCCAGTGGGAACTCTCACTGATTTATCACTTATAAATGTGCATTAATGACCCTCCGTGTGCCAAGCCCTCGGCTGGGCACAAAATAGAGCCTGATTTCTTGGTCCTCCTGCTGCAGCTGGTGGACCAGGGGCCCCTGCTCCATTCTGATCGCTCCCTGGGGACCTTCTCCAGTTTTGCTATGTCCCTTTTAATGCCGGGGCCAAGAAATCAGCCCAGCCCTGCTTTGAGCCTCCACAACTACCCTTGGAAGTGGGCAAGGCAGCAGTTATTGTCCCTCTGTGACAGATAAGGCAACTGAGGCCCAAAGAGAGGAAGTGAAGTGACTTGCCTAAGGCCGCATAGCAAATCCAGGTTTCAGAAACTCCCACATGTGGCTTCAGCCTCCTGTCTGGGTGACACTTTCCTGGGCTCTCCGGGAGGGAGGAACAGGAGGTTTTAGGACGAGGGGGAGAAGGGAAGCATCAGCAGGACCCTGACCTTCTTGGCATCCCTACCCACTGGGCTTTGCAGAACCTGGAGGTGGAGGCAAAATTACCACCTGTTTCAATTCTTCCCCGACTCAGTGGACTCAGGGGGCACCTGATATCTTAACCCTGGTCTGTAAAACAAAAAAACTAAAAAGCTAAAAAAAAAAAAAAATCCCTGAGAAGTTAAAATTAGTTTTCCACCTTCTTCTGCCCCAGAAAGAGCTAACAAATCACCTGGAAGAAACTCTTTCCTTTCTGGGAGCTGAGAGGGTGCTGGCGGGTGGGTGTCGATGTCGGGGCTTGGAGGGCTGTTCTCTCCCCACCCCCACCTTTTCTTTCCCACTGAAAAAGCACAGCACTTGATTCTATTTTAATAGTAAAAGCCAAAAGAGAATTAGCTTTGCCTCAGGCCTGGTCCGCATTAAGAGGCCCTGGGGCTTGGCCCTGGGGCTCCGGGTGATGGAGCCTGTGGGCCACATGCCGGGAAACCAAGGCCCGCGCCAGGCAGCAGCCAAGAGCTAGAGGGGCTGCCAGGAAAGGGCAAGAGCTCAAGGCTTGGGTTCAGTCCCTGCCCAACTCCCTGTGCTCGGGGAGCCCCCTCCTTCCCTGGGCTGAGCTTTAGTCTTCTCATCTGTAAAATGGGGCTCACACTGCCTACCTGAGTGGGGTCAGGTGGCATGGGAAGGGAGGAGCAGGGACCCCACTAAATTGGACACTGCCTCTGATATAGACACCAGGGAGGGGACAGGTGCGTAGAGCCACAGTCCCACTTGGCACAGCTCCTAGATGTGGAGAAACTGAGGCTCAGGGAAGCCAGCTATGCTGGTATTCAAGGCTGAGGCTTGCTAAATGTAGGTCCCAAGCTCCTTCCAAACAGCTCACCTGACTGCATTTTACAAACTGTTCTTTGCCTTTCAGGTGTGATTGGCCATTACCAGGATTATTCCAGAGGCACCTGAGCTCCATGGCTGCCTCCATCCTGCCTTCAAGTCAGAAGCTCTGAAGCCCTTCGTGGGAGCAGGGCTGCCCAGAGGCCTCTCTCCCAGCTCCCAGCCACCCCTGCGTCCCCACCCCAGAGCTGGTCCTTCCACATTCCAGCACACCCTGTGGGTACAGCAGGAGTTCCCCTCCACCCTAAGGCCCCCCGAACACACAAGAACTTCCCACGGAGAAAGACAGAGGGAGCAGGGGAGGGCAGTTTCCATAGCAACGCTGGGTTTCTCATTCCCAGCACATCAAATGCCAAAGCAGAGTTGGAGAGGTGCGGCCCCCTCTCGTTGGAGGAGACTCCCCACTCTCACCCCCACCATCTCTACCTCACTTGGGCCCATCCAGACAAGCAAGACAGAGGGGAGGGCCTCCTGGACACTTGGACCTGCAAAGGCCATCAAACTCAACTCCATGGTGACAGACCTGCCAGGGGCCAAGGAGGGCCTGAGGGAGTCCTCAGTGCACTTGCCAGCCTGTGCAGCGGGAGTTGGGGAGAGAAAAAGGGGCTGACACACACACACACCCATCCTGGGCGAGAACTGTCCGTAAAGGCTGACCCCTGTCAGCACACACAGAGGCTGCTGGTACACCAGGGTGAGGCGGCTCGCTGTGTGACCAAGGGCCTGGCCTTGCACTGGGCAGACCTGAGTATCAGTCCAGACCCTGGCACAGATTTGACGTGTGGCCTCTGCTCTCTGAGCTTGAGTTCATTCATCTGGACCATGGGAGAAATAAGAGAATCCAGCCCAGAAAGAAGAGAAGACAGTGCTTGGTATCTCAGAGTGCAAACAAATGGTGCTCATTCTGATTGCTTCATTATTATTATTAATAACAACACTGAAGTCCAAACACCTCAGTTTGGCAGGGAACCTTCCGCAGCCGTCTGCCCTGCTCGATGACCTCACCTGCCCGCTATGACAACCCTCGGCTCAGCCCTGTCTGCAGACTTAGCTGAATCAGAAGGGCGTAGTGCCAACATTGCACCCAACCTCGGTTCCCCTACAGTCCTTGCTCCTGTGCCCCGCCACACACTGTTGAAGGTCCTTTCACATGTTCAAGTCCTTCCTGTTCACCGGGCCTGACCCTAGGACTCCTCCCTCAGGAAGTCTTCCCAGCCCACAGAGATCTTTTCTGTGCCCGAGATCCCCTTGGTCTTTGATCCCGGCTCTAATCAGACATCACCTGGGAGCACCTGTCCTTCCGAAGGACCCACCATTTCACAGCTCTTTCGGGCTGGCTGCAATAACATTTATCCCTGTCCTGGGTATTGTTCATTGTGCTGAGAATTAATATACAGGAAAGCACCCAGTCCTCAGCAGGTACTCAGTAAACCATTATCAGCATAGATGCTTCACATGCAATCTTCCCCAGTCCTAACAATTACAGGAAAAAGGTACCATTGTTATCTCCATGCTAAAGAGGAGGAATCTGAGAGTCATGGAAGTTGAAGGATCTGCAGAAGGTCACAGAGCCAGAAAAAGAGCAAAGCCAGGATTCGAACCCAAAGCCCTTTACAGAAGCAGCAAGGTGAAACATCATGAACGGGTCGCGGCACAGCCCCTCTTGGGCAGGAAATGGCCTTTGTTTGGAAAAGACTTTGACAAGTTTCTCCACTAGAAGGTGACCCATGAGCCCAAGGGCCCAGGAAACTAAGTCATCAGAACTGGGGTTTCATGAGTACCTGCTATGCACCAGGTGCTTCCCTGAGTATCTTAAGTCACCTAACTCAGTCAGCCCTCCCAACAACCCTGTGAGGAAGGTGTGAAGAAAGCATGAGCATTAGTTCCATTTTACAGATGAAGAGGCTGAGGCACGAGAAGCTGTGAAGCTCTTCCAGGGTCACTCAGCCATAAGCAGGGGCAAGACTCAGACCTGGGCAGACTGGCTTCGGGGCTCATGCATTCAACCCCTTGGCTAACAGGCTGACCTGGTTTGCACAAGACATGGTTTTCATCCTGCAAGGAGCTGAGGAGAGACCCTGGAGATCGGTGTAGACGGGTGATAGAAAGAATCCATCAAAATGGGCTGAGATGGGCTAATACAGGGTGAGCTCCCTGCTCAGGTGGCTGGAAGGTCTTTTAAGAGCACAGATGCCTAATGGGCATTTTTAAAGTCACCTGCACTTCTGAGCACTTCTTCCTGCTCCCCTTCTCCCACCACATCTCCAGTGGAGTGCTCCACACTAATAACTATTTGTACAAGTGTGGCAGGAGAAGGGAGAGGCTACGTGTACAAGGAAAATTATCTTTAGTGCTTTATCAGGCAGATAAGGGGAGAGGGGGTGGGCATCAGAAACATTAATAAAACTTGCCCACCTCTCTCTCAAACACGCATACCCTCTAATGTAAGTTCAGTCTTCTGCATCCTATTTTACAGCCTTTTTATATACTTAATTTGAAGAAAGGTCAGAAATAAAGAAACAGGGACTATAAACACCCAAGGGAAGGGGGCACATTTGGGAGAAATTCGGGAAGCTTTGGCAGTGGAAAGTAAGGAGCACATGGGAATGTGGGCGGGAACTGTCAAGACAAGACAGTCTCGAGAAATGGAAGGATGAAATCCGACTGACATCCTCGTCAGTATGACTGGAAAGATGAAAATAAAGATTGGAATTACTTTCTAATTACCTTTGTTTGCTGGACTGTGCATCTGAATACAAGTCAAACCAAAGACAGGATCACATGGGACCCTTGCTTATAATCAGGTTACAGGAGAGAAAAAGGAAGGAAAGGAGCCTCACGTCTCCTTAGTTTGGTGTGAGCCAAAGACAGGGTAGGGGAAACAACAGGCTGGAGATAGTGGTGACCTGGTACCAGGAGTCCCTACCTTTTTCCCCAAATTTGCAAAAGTTTTGATTTACACGTCCACAGGGTGTGGGATTGGAGAGTTCATCATCCTAAAGCTCTCAAGGGATAAGAAAACTCCAAGTGATATTTTAATTCCATAGAATAAATGACTTCTGGAAAACTTGCCAGGAAAACCTGAGATCCTCATTCTCTTTCCTGCCAGGAGCAACTGGTGAATAATTAAGACTGAAACCCTGGTTCAGGCCACCCATAGCAAGGAGAGTACCAATCTGTTAGGGCAAGCCACACTGGTGACATAATGACTGAAGTGAGTTCTACAGAGCTGAGTTCTGTTAGGAAGCCTACGTGGAGTTCACTGTGAATGTTGTTTCGGTTCTCCTCAACTGATTTCTTTGGTTCTTTCCAATTCTACCAAGTTTTACAAACCAAACACCTCTAACCTACAAGGAGACACAACCAGCTGAGTCCCTGAGGCCACTGCAGCATCTCCTGCGACACCTGCCCCCCAGGTGAGTCCAGAAAGGGGTATCTCTAATCAGACAAACCGACCAAAGGTGGCCCACATGCTCCGGGGCACCATCTTATCCAGACCCTTGATGTTTATTGAGTATTTCACTAAGTGTGAGATATGGAGGTGGACTCATGGCTCTGTCCTCTCTTTCCCTGTGGCTTTCCCAGGAACCAGACCCAGCACCGAAGAACTGCTGAATACCGACTGCCCAAGATAGAGACCTTCAAGTGACCCTTGACTCCAAACCGGCTCTCACTCCACCCACCCAAGTTGTCAGCAAACCCTACTGGCTCTGTCCACCTAAACCCTACCCAAGTCTGTCCACTTGTCACCACCTCCATTGCCTAGCCACCTCCTGTCCTAGATAAGCCACCATCATTGCCTAATGGGTCTCCCTGCTTCCTCTCTTGACCCTCTACGTCCTTCTCTCACACTGCAGCCAGGGCACTCCTTTTAAAATGGAAGCCACATCGCGTCACGCTGTCCAATGGTTCCCCTTCTCCTTCCACTGAAGCCCCAGGTCCCCTGGAAGCCCCTCCCCACGCTGGGCCCTGCCCACCTTCCTGCCCTCTCTTCCTACCTCTCACTCCTTGCTCCTTCTCTTCCAGCCCTACAGATGTCCTTGCTGGTCCCCAGGCACACCAGACATGTCCCTCCCCTCAGGCCTCGACACTTGCTACTCCCTCTGCTTGGAATGTTCTTCCCCCCAGATGTCGGCACTGCTCACAAGCTTTTTGT